GGAATCAACCCAAGTGCCCATCAATTCATGAGTGGATTAACAAAATGTGGTATATGTATACCATGGAATACTACTCAGCCATAAAAAGGATGAATTAATGCCTTTTGCAACAATTTGGATGGAATTGGAGACCATTATCCTAAGTCAAGTATCTAAAGAATGGAAAAACAAACACCACATGTACTAGCTATTAAATTGGTACTAATTGATGAGCACACATGTACACAGAGGGAAGTAAAATTCAGTGGTAATCAAGAAGGGAGGACTGGGGAGGAGGGGATGGGCAAAAACCTACCTAACGGGTACAATGAACACTATCTGGGTGATTGGCACACCTATAACCCTGACTAAGTATTACAAAGGCAATCCATGTAACCAAGAATATTTGTACCCCCGTAATATTTTGAAATGTAAAAAATAAATTAAAACAAAAAAAGACTAGCCATCTGTCGATAACTGTTGAAGCCAGGTGATGGGTACTTATATGAGGGTTCATTATAGTGTACATATTTGAAATCTTCTATACTAAAATGTTTTTAAAATTACCAAGAAAGGCTGCCTCTCTACAGAAATGTTTAAGACAGGCACACTTCAGATTGGGATTGGATTATGTGTTTTCCTAGGAACACTGCTAATCCTATGAATCCTATGAAGAAATCTTTATACAATCCCCAAGATAGAACTTTCCACCCCCTTCTCTATGATCTAATTTTTATTTATCCTTTTAGACCCTTCCCCTGCTTTTATAAGACAGGGTCCCTCCCGCTCTGTCACCTAGGCTGGAGTGCAGTGGCTCAATCACAGCTCACTGCAGCCTCAAACTCCTGGGCTCAAGCGTAAAACCTCTTTTTAAATCTTATCTCTTCTTTCAAATTCATACTCATCTCTGAACACCAAAGCACTTCCTAACCATGCCACTCAGCACGTCTTAGATTTTGCCATGTAAATGATCTCCTTATTTACATATAAGTATTTTTGGTTTTTACAATTAGACTGCAAGCACCATGATGGTGGGAACCATGTGCTATATCTCTTCCAACACCTTCGTAATATAGTATATTATAGTAGGTAGTTGATATATATTTTTTGATAGACTACATTTGATAATTTTCCCATCTATGAGGGTTCAGAGAGCTTATAATACTTTCGTATCTGTCTTGCCTGATCTCCTCTGACCCTAACTACACTGTCCTTTGGTAAACATGTATGGAGGCCCTGTAACTGGTGTGGATAAATAAGATGAGAGAGCCATGTAATTTTCTCTCAAGGAGATCTCAGTGGAAAAGAAAAAGAGATACGAGGAAACAAATAACTGTTGTAATAAGTATTAAAATGTTGAATATAGCACATAATACAGTATATTATAGAAAAAAAAACTTAGCCGGCTCTGGTTGATGTTAAATGTTCCATTGTGCTGAGCAACCACAAAGTTTTAATTTCTCCACCCTTTAAACCTCCCAAAATATTTCAGAATATCCAAATCTCTAGCCACTTACCCTTGTTGCACGGGCTGTAACTGCAAGATTACTTGGGTTTTAGTATCTTCAGGGTTCTCCCCTTCATTTCCTTCAGTGGGTACCACAACCACATCCCCCACTGGGACACTCACTTCTGCATTAGCCATCTTTCACATGAAGTCAGATAGCTGAGGCTGCTGTCAGGAACAAGAAGCATCAGTAACTTTATCTGGTTTGAAAAGATGGCAACCACACGAAAAGAATGCCAAGATAATGACTACCAATTCCAAGAGCACCCTGGAGATCATGGCCCTCTGAAAAAGGATGGGAACTGTGAGGAGGGGCTGACACAGGCTCTGATCTTTCCAGATATGCCTCGGTACTCATTTGCTATTGTAGGTTTTCTTAGAATGTATGACTCATCCAGTGTTCTGGAGCCAGCAGCTCCTGAGAACCGATTATGCATATCCCTTCTCAACTCCAAGTTTAGTGACATTAACTTGGTAGCTTGACATCAGTGATGCTGGGAGTATATGGACCATAGAAATTGACAAGCACTATAAATCAGAGTATTTTACTTTTCTAGAGAGCTGGTTTACAGCACACCACTAATTTCATCCCAAACAGTAAGCTCCTGGAAAATAGGAATCATATCTATTTTCTGCACAACCAGCCATTATACCTCATCAAGTCCTTTGTCCTTTGTAAATACTTAACTAAGTATCTGGAGACTAACTGAATGAGCTGCATGGGAAGGGGAAGATGACTTACATTGTGTAGTTGTTTAAACGCTGAATTCAACTGTACAAACTCTAGGAACTTCTTAATACCTCTTTGCCTCAGACTGAATGGAGATAGGATCTTTTCTTTTTTTTTTTTTTTT